GCCTTCGATGCTGCCAGATGCACTTACTGCTCAGGCAGGGGATGTGGTCAGTGCCCACTCCTGGAACTCTCAGGGAAAGGGGGTTCCTGAACCCTCACCAGAGCAGAGGGGCTCCTCGCCACTGCGCGGCCCTGTGTGTGCTTCTAGAAGTCATGGGGCGTTCAGGAGGTTTTCCACGAGCGATTTTGACTGCCCCGTTGTTCCCAACTCGTGGACTTACCCCAACCTGCCGAAGGTGGGCTCCCCTGTGTGTCTGGTGCGATTATGATCCAGGAGTGGTTTTCCACAGGGGGGCTCCTCTCAGGTAGGTGGCCCAGCTGGCGCCGCCACCATCCCAGAACAGGCGCTCCTTGCTCACGAGCTGGCTGAGGCCCCTCACCCCCGTGGCCCGGCGGCTTTAATTCCACGCAGGGTCTCATTCTCACCCAGTGCTGGGCGGGAGGGGCATGGCTGTCACTGCCGGGTAGCAAACACACGCCACCTGCTTTCTCTGCCACTTCCCATCCCCAAGTACATTCTCCGAAAGCATTTCTGCTTGTGCGTGGGCACCCTGTCGCTCTCGCCAGCCCGCCATGTCCCCACTGTCCCCTTCTTGTCTCCCAGCTGGAGCAGCCATGGGACAGGAACGGGGCGGGGACTGGGTGGGCCCAGCCCATGTCATCCCCCTTCCCGTGTCTTCCGCGTGGCTCGCGTTGCCTCCTGTGCCTCGAGCACCTGGCCAATGCCGCCGCTCTGCTCCCCCCCAGCTCAGCTCCTACCCCAAGTTGCAAGAGGAGACGGAACGGATTGTCACCACTTACATCCGAGAACGGGAGGGGAAAACCAAGGACCAGGTACTGGCTTCTTGTTTTATTTTTCAAGTAGAATTTGCATGCACAAATCTTGAGGGTACAGTTCCTTGAGTTTTGACAAATGTTTACAGCAAGGTAATCGCTGCCTCAATCAAGATATGGGACATTTCTGTCACCCCCAAATTCCCATCCTTCGCCCCTTTGTAGTCAGCGCCCCACCATCCGCCGGGCCCGGCAAGCGCCAGGCTGCTCCCTGGCCCTACAGTGTTGCATTTTCTAGACTGTCCTATGTGTTTGGGATGCTTTCTGGGTTGTACCATTCTCTTGGGAAGACTGTCCAAGCACACACAAGTGTACAGACTGTGGCATGCCCCTGCGCGGCCACGGCAGGCTCACCTGTCACCTGCTGGGCGAGCCCAGCGTCGCGCTCTACCTGCATGTGACGTAGCACCTGGTCTGAGCCACTCCCCACCCCTCCCCCACCCCCAGTTATCCACAATGGTCTCTTGACAGCTGTTTGTTCAAACCAGAACCGAAACAAGCCTCTGTGTCAGATTTGGTTATGGCATCACCTCGTTTAGAACATTGGTGGAGAAGAAACCGGCTCATTTATCCTTTTAGGAGGTCCCCCTGTCAACATAGCTTCCGTTCCCTCGTAGTCTCTGCAGCTTGGAAGTTTTATCAAAGGCTTGGGAGATTCCGATTCATTTTGTTATCTTTGGCAAGAAGGCTGCTGTCCCTTCCCACATGCCCCAGCCCCGGCTGCCCTACTGTTGGCACTGTGGACTTTGTTGTAGGGCTCTGGGCCAATGGGACTTGGCCTTAATAAATCAGTGACAGTCGCTCCCATGGACGGAGCACTCAGCATTGTCCAAGGACCTCGCAAGGCCTGAAGGCCTGGCATGTTTTATGCTTGAGGGCTCAGAGGCACAGTGAAGTGACTGGCAGGGGCGGGGTACTGAGTAAGGGCCTGTCCCTTATCTGAGGTGACACCTCCACTGGCTCGTGTGTCCCTGTGTGTTTTAATGCTCTTACCTGACCCTGTTATCTATGCTGTTTCATCGCAGGGCTTATGACATGTGGGCCACTACTTCAAACACTTTATGTGTTGTGGATGATTTAGCGCTCTGCAGCCGGGCCTCAGGCCATCGCATATCCTAGCTTAGTAACATGAGGCCCAGGGTCGCACAGCCAGGCAGTGGCTTAGTGTGACTGCAGCCCAGGCGGTCAGGCTCCAAGGCTGTGCCCAGACCCCCACACCAGGCCACTTGCTCTGTCTGTCTGACCTGTGAGGCCACGATGTCCGGAGGCACCCTGGCCCCTTCCCCTCAGGGTCCGTGCCATGGGTGTGAGTGGACACTGGCCCTCTGCCTGGGAAGTGGTGTGGTGCCTGGTGCCCCTGCTGGCAGGAGCCAGAACTGCTCGGGCGCTGCCCCTTCCAGGGGCGCTGGGCTCAACCCTCACAGTGACCCCTGCTTCCCCCCCAGATTCTTCTTCTGATTGACATTGAGCAGTCGTACATCAACACGAACCACGAGGACTTCATTGGATTTGCCAAGTATGTGCTTTTCAGGCCAGGGGTGGGTGGGGCGGCTCCAGTGCCCTCAGAGCCAGGCCCCCTCAGGCGGTGTGGTTGGGATTCCCTCAGCCAACTGGGGCAAGAGGCTGTCTGTCACAGGTCCCAGCGGGAAGCGTGGAGCCATCTGAGAGTATCGGGAAGCTTTGCTGGGCTAATAGTGCGCCCATCCTCGTGGTCCCCAGTGCGCCTCCTGTGGGCCCCCCACAGCGCGTCCGCCTGGGGAAGTGCAGGCAGATGCTTTTGGGGAAGGGCAAGGAGAGCCAGCGCTCAGTGCCTCCTCTCCTGCAGGACTTCTCAGGGCGTCCCAAGAGACCCATGTGCCGCTCCTCCCAGACCACCCTGTGTGCACTCGGCCCTTTCACAGTGTCTCACTGGTTCCAGGAGCTGCTTTTCAGGAAGGGCCACCTGGGATCTTCCCGGCTTCCATCCATACACTGTAGATTTGAAAACAGCCTTGCGTGACACCCGGAAAGGGCCCAGAGCAGGGAGCTTTGATTTCACTTATGTGGATATAAATGCTGGTGGCTCAGGTGTGGCCTGCTGACCCATCAGTCCCCAGATCCACCCTCAGTGAGTGTGGGCACCACTCGGGCTGTTCCGGTGGCTCCCAGTGGTCTTCCTGCCCTTGCCCAGTGAATGACAGTCATCGGCAGCCAGCCTTACTCATTTAGCAAGTATTCCTGGTGCACCTTGTCTGGCCAGGCCCTGGGATACAATAGCAAGCACGCATGGACCCAAGTCCCCACCCTCAAAGAAAGGTCCCATGCCAGGGACCGATGTGCACCCAGGCAGTTACAACACAGTGTGGTCAGTGTCTGGGGCCCACGGGAGTCCTGAGGGCAGCCTTCTGGCCTGGCCTCAGTGGGGGTGTAAGGAGGCTTCCTTGAGGAGAGAGGCCAGTCTTGGGTAAGAGGGTCTTTCTGTCAGGGTCTGTCCGCTGGGCTAAGGCATCACTTGGGTAGAACCTTTATCAGTGTATCAGTACCGTTGATGGGCAGCTGATCTGTGCTGGGCACATGGTAAGTGAGTGGGATGAATGAGCGAATGAGGGCGTGATCAGATGCTGCTCCTTGAGCCAAGGCGAGCTGAGGGCCCTGGCTGGGCTGTGCCTGCGGGGGGAGGGCTGGGGCCCTGGCTGGAAGCAGCCCCCCTGCTCCCATTCCCCCGGCAGCCAGGCAGGTGTGGGCTGAGGATGCCAGTTCCCCTGCGGTTTGCCGCCGTTTTCCTCACTGCGATGTCTCTGCTTCTCACACTTCATCCACAGTTCCTTCTCACAATCTTTCCTGTTTTTCCTTTGACTACTCCACTCTTTCCTCTGGATTCCTGGGCCTTCCCACTTCTCCCAGCTGTTACTATACTGAGCAGCTGGTGACCGGGTGGGTATTGCCTGCTGTGTGCCTTTTCCTGGTGTGTGAATGGGACCCCCTGGCAGGGGGCAGGGCCCAGGGTGCCAGGCTCTGCCTGACCCAGGCAAAGCCAGGGCCCCAGCCTGGGTGGGATGTCCCGGGGCCCGCCAAATAGCCGTGGAGCGCTGAGAGCCAGTCCAGTGTGGGGCCTTTGGATTAGGACAGTGAAGAAGCCAGACTTGGGCCCTGCCCATTCAGAGCACCCTGGCTGGGGACATGTCACCACCAAGCACACTAGCACAGGGAAGCTGAGAGCTGGAATGGAAAGGAGGGTAGGTGAGGGGCTGTGGGAAAGAGGAGCAAGGGATGTGGCCTGGAGAGTCCTTCTCGAGGAAGTCGTGACAGCCAGATGACAAGCAGGAGACTCAGAGAGCACCGGAGACAGGAAGGAAGGCGGCACAGCCGGAGCACGGGGAGACCGGGGCCAGGTGGAGGCGAGGCCTGGCTCATTGCCAGGAAGGCCCTGCTGCCCAGAGGACTTTGGACCCCTACCCCGCCCCAGGCCGCAGGAAATCTCTGATAAGGTACAGGCGGGGGCAAGGGAGAGCCACGTGGGCGAGCAGGAGCCGGGAAGTAGCACACCTTGGCCCTCCCTAGCACCCAGCCATCGCTGTGCCAGGCTTGGCTCCGTCCCAGTTCCTCCACATATTATTGATCAGATTCCTTCCTGTGGTTAGATGTTCGGGCTGCTTCTCCCTGCTCTCCAAACACTCAAGATAGAGCCCAGAAAAAAGGCCTAAAATAAACTCATGAAATGATACGAAAAATCACTGAATAAAATGCATCCTCCATTCTAATGCTCCAGCCATTAAGTGATCTAGGAGCAGAAGCCTGCTTCCTTACACACAGGCACACGCACTCTGCCGTGTCATACAACCCATGTGAACTTTAAGGTAAAACTCCAGAAGCAGTCAGTAAAGGAATGAAACGCGATGGTTTGCCTTTTCATATTGTTCCGAAATCCCCAGCAAAAGCACTATGATAAGAAATATGTCTTAATTAACAGGAGATACAAGTTGTTTACAGGGGGTGATAGGATCATCCCAGTAGAAAATATGTCAGGGCCAACGAGGGAGGTGAGTGGGTGCCCACGTACAAAACACGTGGCCTTCCTCTGCATGGCACAAGCTGGCCAGGAAACAGGGCAGATAAAAGAGAGAGATCCAGGGCTGTACACAAATCAGGAACCTTGTAGAAACGTGCTCTGTTGTCCTTGACTGTCCTCTGGAGTAGGTCAGGGGCCACCCAGGGTGAGTGGAATTTTCATGGTGAGCAGCTGTCCCATGGTCGGATCTCCCAGCCCGGAAGGCCCTGTGATGATCAGAGCCACGTGGGACCTGGTCACAGACAGGAAGAGGTGTGGGAAGAGGCCTCCAGTTTTTAGCCCCCAAAGAGCTTGGCACTCACGTGATGCTGAAGCCACCCTGGCTACCTCCCGGCCACCTGGGAGTCCAGCTTCTCATGTCCCCTCCTGGAGGCACCAGGATTCACCGATTCCTAGAAAGAGATGGTGCCCTCAGGAGTGACTGAGGTCAGGGCCGAGAAGCCTCCATTTGACTCAGGACCTTTTCTGCCCTCGAGCCCGGCTCTTTCCCTTGGCCTGCGCTGTGTGCACAGGGCTCTTCTTCACCTTGTCCGTAGCTAGTCACCCCTCAGGAGAGAACCCCACCTGGGCCCCAAGGGCCTCTTGCTGCCCCTCCTGATGTCTCACTGCATTAGCCCCATCTGTGTTTCACTTGCAGCGCCCAGCAGAGGAGCACGCAGCTGAACAAGAAGAGAGCCATCCCCAACCAGGTAGCCCCCTCTCCCCGGCCCGCAGCTCCACCCTCAGGGGCGGGGGGGCACTCAGGGACCAGCAAGCCCAGCAATGGCTGGGTGGCTGCCTGGCATGGGGCACGATCGGCTAGACCCCACCCACACCCCCCAGCCTCTCGGTCTGCTTAGGTTTTGATGTTTCAAGAGAACGGTTTTTGAGCTGAAGCTCTGGCAGGGCCTGGGGGGCTAATTTCACACACCCAGAAGGGCCCATCGGACACCTAAGGCCACGGTTAGAACCTGACCCTGGGGAGAGGAGCGGCCTGATCACTCGTGGTATCTGCAGCCAAGTCGGGTTCCTGGCCCTAGTGGGAGGGGACCAGGTGGGGGGCTGCACTGTGACAAGCAGTTCTGGGGAGCCTGGTTCATTGAACCCCACACCTGGAAAAACCCAGCGCCACGTAAAGGGTCCTCTACCCTGATTCCTATCCCAGCCCAGGCCCTTGTGAAACATGAACTGCTTTATATATACCAGTATCCCATGCCTTTTTTTTTCTTTTAGAAAACAGATTATCTTTGCAAAAATTTCTGCCAGTGTCCCCAGCTTCTCCCCATTGGGTGGGGGTGGGGGGGGGGGGTGGGGGCTCTGCTGTTTATCTCGCACGACTAGCGAGCCCTCTGGAAAAGGCAGATGTAACCACTGCATGATTTGATTTTTTTGCGCTTGCCATAGGTAATATATATGTTGTTGCTTTTTTGTTTCGGGAGATGATAATGAATTAAATATTAACACCATGGATATAATTAATAGCATGTAATTTTTTTTTCTTTTGCTGTTTTTTTCCTTGCTCTTCTCTCCTTCCATTTTTGTGCTTTTCCTGCTTTTTTTCTCCCTTCCCTCATGTCCCTTACGTCTCTTCCTCCGCCTGCTCTTCTTTGATTTACCCACATCCCTAACTTTGCATTTTCAAAGGGGGAGATCTTGGTAAGTACCCACTTAGCGTGGTAGTGAACGTTAGAGAGCCTAGTGGTGGTGGAGACCCCGCCACCCCATAATGCTCCCTTCCCTCCAAAATAACAGAACAACTAAAAAGCTAACCTAAACCCTCCTTGCAGTGGCCTGTGCCTGGTGGGCTGGCCCTGGGCATAAGCCAACTCACACACACACTAACCTGACTGCAGCCCTGGTAGGAAGCCCATCCCCTCTGGCCCATTCCTGACAAGTCCGCCTCGTTTCCCATAGGTCAGGGATGGCAAGTAACCCCCCGCGCCCCCCTCCCCTCATACCCCGGCCAGGGAAGGTTTTGCTCAAGCCCTGCTGGCACTTGTTCTTGACGCTGCTGCCACCCCGTTGCCAGTGCAGGCAGCACCCCGAGGAGATCCCCCCTGCAATCCTGGCTGGCTGGCTGATCCAGCACTCTTCCCCTTGTACCCCTCACCTGTCATGTGGCCTTGGCAGGCATTGCTAATCAATCCTGCCATCCTTTCCTAAGCATGCCACCAGTCCCCATTCTGTGGCAGATTGTGACTAACTAGTAAAGGAACTTTTTTTTTCCGCATGGGGACTTTGCACTTGACGCCCCTCCTGTACCCCTGATGGGCATGACTGGTCGATCAGGGAACTCTCTCCTGGATGCTGCCATCCTCCTGCCTCCGTGGCAGATACAGTGAGGGATCAGGCTGTTCTGTTCCACTTGCCCCCTCTTGTCCTTTACCTGCGAAAGACATCACTAATTGGTCCCAGCATCGTTCCCCTGTGTGCCCAGAAATTCTACTGCAGTGTTCTGGGCATCTCCTATGCACTGGTCGGTGTGCCCTCCACCCCACCATGAATGGTATTTGCCATCCCTTTGTAGGTAACACCTCCTGTCTGTATGGCCCAGCCCCGTGGGGATCAGGTGCTACTCCTGTCTGAGAGTTGAGCTCTTTTCAGGGTGCTTCCCTTCAGGAAGCTGGCTTCAGCCCCAACTTTCCACCTTGGAGAGTACGGCCTGGGTCTCCTCTGGGATATTCTCCCACTGACCACTGAGGCACCAGGCGGCCCCATTGCTGCCCACTGGCAGGCATCTTCTGGCAAGCCCGGGATCATCCCAGTAGCTCAGCTGACCCCGCACTAGGGCCTGGAAGATGCAGAAGGAGCCACAGCCGGGTGGGGTGGGTGGGGTGGCGGCGGGAGGATGACTGGTCCTCAGCCTGAGGCGTCCACTCTCCCCACAGTCACCCCTGTCCCCTTTGAACTGGAACATTTTCCTCCAAACCTCTCGGACCTGCCTCTCCCCGCATCCCACACTCTGAGAGGGTTAGTTGTACTTTCCCTGCTAGACTCCACACCCCAGGCCTCAAAGCCCAGCCCTGCCACAAGCACTTTGGCCACTGGGTCTCCCAGCCATGATTTGTGTCCCTGCCTGGTGACTTGGGTTGGGACCCTCTTCCGGAAGGAGGGAGGCCCACCCTGCCGGGCTGGGGGCCCCAGCTTGCTGCTTGCTGCCTGCTGTCTCTGCTGCCCCAGTGTGCCTGCATGCCTGTCACTGTGCACCCAGGAGCCTGGTAGCCCATCTGCCTCTACTGTGCCCCTGACACTCCTCCTAGGCCCAGTCCCCTGGGGCACAAATCTGGCTTTTGAATGAGGAGGACAGGCCATTTCTTCCCCTAGACTCAGCACCTGTGTTGGATGCCCACAGCTGGCATCTCCCCAGGGTGGGATTTCATCTCTGACCCCACTTGGGCTCCCACGCCAGCAGCTATCTGGGTGGCTGAAGGGGAACAGGACCTTGGGGGTTTCTCCAGGCCTAAACAGCAGCCTCCTGCCTTGAGGTTCACATGCACCATTCCTGGTGTGGCCCCATCAGGGCCCCCGCCCCATGGTCACTCAAACTCTACTAATCAAGGCACCGAGGGGTGGTGGGTGGGAACTGGGCTGAGCCCAAGTGCAGAGGTCTTGCCCCTGTGAGGATTTCTCCTTTGGGGAGCCCTGACAGTCTGTGTGGACCCCGCTCTCCCTTCCCTGGCCATCAGTGACTTGAGGTTTAGAAGCACCCACCCTGCCCAGCCTGGGCCAAGACAGGGCACACCCCACCCTGCTCCCTGGGGAGGGGGAAGCGAAGGAGCAGCTCAAACAGAGACACGTGCGCAGCTGGGGCTGGGGTAGCTGCCAGAACCAGGGGCTCCTTCTGGGTCCCGGAACCTTGGGTCCTTGGACCTGCGTCTGCAGACCAGCCTTGCCCCCAGCGTGACCCGCTGTCCACTCTGCTGGGAGCCGGAGGTGTTCCCGGGACCCCAGAGTTTCAGTGCTAGGCACCCCGGCAAACGGGGTGAGTTGGTCATCCTGCGGCCGGGGAGGGTCCCGTGACCTTGTTAGGCCTGATGAGCTTCTGCTCTGACAGCCACAAGACCCCCAGGTACTGTCTCGTCGTCTCAGGGAGGTAGAAGGCTGTGCTGTTGGCCTTAAAGGCTGCTAGGTGGCATGTCATGCTGTCCCCAGCCTAGGCAAGGACTTGTGTGGTGCAGGGGTCCCCAGGCCTCTGTGGCCACCTCCACCTTCAGGGCCTCTGAGGCTCAGGGCCCTCTTCCAGCTGCAGGAGGCTGGTGGCCCCATTTGATCAGCAGATGGAACCCCTCTGCAGATGCCCCCAGTAGGAAGGCATGCGGGTGCAGCTGTCCGTGGCCACGCACAGCCTGCCCTCTGCAGCTTGGCCCTGTCTGTTGCTGCGTCAGCCCCAGGTGGCCCTGCCTGTGCCTCCACGTGCTTCCCGCTGTCCTGATGTCCCCAGTCCCAAGTAGTGTGTGGCTTCAGCCCACACATGCTTCCCTGCTCCCCCCTGGCTGACTGCATTTAGCTGTCAGGTGAGTCCCTGCAGCCAGCCTGGGTTCTGCCTCCCGCTCAGATGACGGCTACTGCAAGACGAGCCCCACTAAGCGCGGCTGCTGGGTGTGACCTGCAGAGCCCCTGGGCTCAAAGCTTTGTCCCAGCCCTCTGGGTGGAGGTGTCCCTTCATTCTTACACTCAGAAAAGAGCCTGTGGGGAAGGGAGCCGGGGGCAGTCAGACAGAGCCTTCCCCAGGGAGCCGGCAGCAGAGTTGAGGCTGTGTGTCGAGCTCTGTCAGTCGGCCCCAAACCAGGAGAGAGAGAAGCAGTCCGTTTCCTGGTGACCGCTCCAGCCCCCACTGGCAGCCGCCTTCCAGGGGGCACACCTGAGCATGTCCCTGGAACCTGCGTCTCAGAGACGAGTGCAGTTTCTCGAGTGACATTGCCCCACATGGAAGCCCAGGACCCCTCTGAGCCCCTTCAGGCCGGGTGTGCCTTTTCTCCACTCGGCCCATCCCTGTGTGCACAGGGCCTCCTGGGACCTGGCTGCCTGCCACCCTAGGGCCAGGAAGTGAGTCAGTGTCTGTCCACCGGGGCCCCCAAGGTGGTTTCTAGCGGGAAGTGCTCGGGGCAAGGTGGAGTCGGGTCTCCTGGCTTCGGGCTGGAGGTGTCTGTGCTGTGGTCCCCGGCTTCCCTCCTTGGCGGGGGCGGGGTACCGGCCCCTGTGCCGGGGGTGGCCGGGCCGGGCTGAGGGCGCTGTCCGCCGCTGAGCTGCACCCTCCCCCCACCCAGGTGATCCGCAAGGGCTGGCTGACCATCAACAACATCAGCCTGATGAAGGGCGGCTCCAAGGAGTACTGGTTCGTGCTGACGGCAGAGTCCCTGTCCTGGTACAAGGATGAGGAGGTGAGGGGTTGGCAGGGGCGGGGAGGTCGGGCGAGAGCGGGTGGGCGGCCACCTGTTCGTCCCAGAGTGGCTCTCTGTGTCCCAGTGCTCACAGCTAGGGTGGGGATGGCCCCGGCTGGGGGTGTGCCAGGTGCCAGACTTCCTGTCCCAGCCACTCCCCGCCAACTCTGAGGTCCCGCCTGGGGACGGCCCAGCTCCTTAAGGAGGAGAGGGAGATGGGGGAGGCCGAGCCCCCAGCAGGCTGGACGCCGACCCCAACCTCCCAAGTCACAGCAGCGAGGGTCCCTGGCTCTCCAAGTGGGTATGGCCTGGGGTCAGGGACTCAAACTGCTGGGTGCTTGGGTCCCATTAGCCTCTCTGGGCTTCAGTTTTACCATCTTTGGAGTAGAGTAGAATGGCATGGCGTCTGCCTAGCATGAGGTGCTGAGCCATAGTGGCCATGTAGAACACTCCGTAGGTGCTTGCCCTTACCAGAAGGACGCGGGAGGCACCTGGGAGCAGCAGGGGAGATACCGGCCCCAGGAGCAGGATTGCGCGCTGCCCCAGACTCTGGGCATGTGGGCAGGGCCCGTGAGCGAGCAGGCGTCCCCGGGTGGCACTGCTGTCTAGGTCCCTCTTCCGCCTTTGCACTGGCCCGTCGTCTTGTCCTGAGTGGCCCGTTTCTTTGCTTCATTCTTGAGGCAGAACAGCTTAACTGGCCTAGTGGCCTGGGAGCGAAGCCGCTCCGGTGTGACTGCCTGTTGCCACTGTCTCAGGCTGGTCTGGCCTCTGAGGATCACCAGCGAGGGGCACTGCTTCTCGCGTTTTCCTGGGTTGCCCTGGGAGAGGTCCAAGGCCGTGCTGCAGACCGGGGCTGTACTCTGTCTGTGACAGAGGCCCAGAATGAAGGCACTCAAGGGACAGAAGTCTGTTTCTCCCCCAAGTCCCAATGAGCTTGCTGGGCTGTCAAGACTCGGTTCCACCCCCACCCCCCAGTGCCCCTTAACACGTGGCTGCCTGCGTGCCCATGTGGCCTCTAGCAGCCCGAAGAAGGGCCTGATGAGGAGGGTGCTTGTCTGCCCACGTGCCCCTGACCAGAATCGGTCACACAGCCAGTGTGTTCTGCTTACCCGGATGGCACAGCCACCAATTTTGGTCAGTGCCCTGGGAGGAAAGGCCAGCCTGTCTGGTCAGCCCCGGAACCACCCCATCAGGCCCTCTGGCCCTCAGGGGTTTGGGAGGCCCCTCCATGGATGTGGTCCATGGCGGGGCCTCACTGTCGGCTGACCCCAACCATGTGAATTGTTGCCCGGCTCAGAGATGAGGGCAGTAGGGCTCTGTCTGGGCACCTGGCTGGGTTGTCTTGTTTATGAAACCCCTGCCCCTTGCCGGGCTCACTGGCTGGAGAACCCACCTTGGACACGTGGAGGGCCGCCCCCCTTCTCCTCTGGAAACCCTCACATTCAGCCATCAGGGAGGAAACCAAGGCTCCAACCAGCGACTTGCCCCATGTCACAGGTAGAAGGGCCCTCCTGTGGTGGGAGACAGGGCCAGTGCCCCCTGGCCCGAGGGACACCTCAGCCCCGGCCTGACCACTTTCCCACAGCCCAAGCCACATGTCATCATCGCGCTCCACATCAGGCCAGACACAAATCTGGAAACTTCTGGGAGCCTCAAGACCCTGAGCCCCTTGAGGGACCCTGTGTGGGTGGCCATTTCCAAACCTGGGGAGGGGGCAGTGTCCAGGACCCCAGAGCCAGTGAGCCTCAGGGAGGGGCAGGTGTGGCCAAATGGGCTCCTCAGAATGGCCGGGCGTGGGGGCGGGGATGACGCTCTGCCATCCTCTCCGTCTTTCCTGCAGTCGGGTACCCAGTGAGCCCTGGGGTGCTTCTGTTGTAAGGCAAGCCAAGGGCTTCCCCCTGCCTTTGGGTTTAGGGATCCCTGGGGCAGGAGTGCCAGGCTTGGTGCCGGCCTTGGGCAGCCATGGGGGCTTCGGGCCCAAATCCCAGCCTGGCAGTGTGCTGCCTGGCACCACTCCCGGTCCAGTTTTAGAGCTCCTCTTTCACTCAATGAGTGGCCCTCCATTTTCCCCTCATCTGGGGGTCGAAAACGGGAGCCCTAGATCCTCCCATGGGGCCCCAGCCAGAGGCAGGGAAGTGCGGGGAGGAGGGTGGAGCGCCCGCTGGCAGTAATGAGAACCAGCAGACCCATGAAAGGGGCCCCGTGTGCGCCCCAGACGCGGAGCAGGCTCAGACCTGGAAGGAGCAGGAGCAGGAGCCTGTGGGTATCCCGCCCCCAAGTTAGGGTCCCTGCAAGACCCCTCTGAGCCTTACACGTGACTGTCAGCCCTTCTTAGAGGCGCCACTGTGAGAAGCAAGACATCGTTCTTTATTTAAAAAAGAAACAAGAGGAAATGGCTCCAGCGTGGGGTAGGAGTAAGGGAGCGGTTTGCCAGATCCCCCCACGTCCTCGGCCAGCGTCAGGGCTCCCTCTGCCCTTCCCTGGCACCTCTTCCACCCCCCAGGCCCTTCTTGACTCCAGAAGCTTCCATCCAAGTCCCCAGCCCAGTGGGAACCCGGGTGGTATGCGATGACACTCACCTTGGGAGGTGGCAGCCGGTCCGGGGTTGCCCGCGTCCCTGCGCCGCTGTCCGAGCCCAGCCTAACCAACGTGCAGATTACTGAACAGGTGGTCTGAACACTGGGGTGGCAGGGCCCCCCGGGGGGCAGCAGGCCGACCACACCCTGGCACCTGTGATCCGGCCAGGAGGCCACCGGCTCCGCCTGCGACCTGCGACCGTCCGCTCCTTGTCTTCTGACGTGGCAGGGCTGGGGCTGGCTTGCATCTGGAGAAAGTTGTGGGTTTTCAGGAAATCCTAAGGCGGGGTTGGGGGTAAGGGAGGCGGGTGGGCCAGAGGGAGGGTTTGGGTCTGTGGCCTCCGTGCACAGGACAAGGTCTCAGGGGTCGGGTGGGGGTGGGGACGTGTCTGTGTGCGTGCGTGTGGGCAGCATCAGGAAGGCAGCTGTCGCGCTCTGGGTGGAACCACACTATAAACAGTTCCAGATGTGGCGTCTCACTGGGGCCTGAAAGGACCATGACTCAGTTGGCCTGGCCGCTCAGCTGGAAGCTTCCTGCCGCATGACACAGCAGGGTGGGGGCAGCAAGGCCCTTTCCACAAACCTCCAGGCAGGGAACCTCCACCCAGCCCCCTCTAAGGCCCGCAGGCATCTCCCTGAGAGGCTGGAAGTGCCCAGGCCTTCCTTACCTGGTGCTACTGACACACTTTTCTTGGCTGCCCTCCCCCACGGGCTCCAGGTCTGCAACACAGCTGGGGGCTTCCGCCTCCATGGCTGCTGTGCCCCTCTGCCTACCCTGCACGCACTGCAGCTCAGCCCCGGGGGGTGCTCCGCCTTGCTTTGCCCTTGCTCAGAGCCCAGTGGGCTGACCCAGGAGCCCCATGAGGGAAGGGGACAGACAGAAACCCTGGTGCCTCATATGCTCCCCACAGCCCCCGCTGTGCATGGGAAGGTAGGCTTCTTGACTGCCTTTGACAGATGGTGACACTGAAGCAGGGGCCGAGGAGCCACTTGCCCAGGGTCCCATGGCCAGGGAAGGGCAGAGCCCTCTGGAACTCCCAGTGCCACAAGACTGAGCCTGCCACCTGCCCCTGCCCCCCATCGTGTAGTCCTGAATCTTGGAGCTAGCTCCCAGCATCCAGGGTCCCCCAGCTCCCTTCCCCCCAATCACTGGGCTGCTCTTGAACTTGGAGGCAGCAGCCACGTTGGACTTCATTCTGGGGCCTTCTGGCAGACAGGCATAGAGCAAGTGAAGAGAAGCAAACTGCCAGGTGAGGGCAGCTCTCTCCTCTCCACAGACGCCCAGGAGGTGGAAGGCCAACTGCGTGGGCAGTGGAGCGGAGATGGCTTTGGGTCTCATGGGCCTGGCTTCTGAAGTCCCTTTGTGTGGGCCACCCCACGTGCTGTGTGGCTCTGAGCAGGCAGACTCCCTCTCTGAGCACATTGCTTCCCAGGCAGTGATGGGAGAGGTTCCATGAGGTCATCGAGGGTCTGCTGTGGGTCACGTGGACATGGGGATTTGGGGACCCTGATGCTGTGCTTGGCGGTCTGGATGTAGGAAGTGCAGTTAAAGCCTCCTCCCTACCCCCATGCACACGCGTGTGCACATATGCACAGACACACGCACACGCAGCTACTGTGAGGACTAAGGGTGATGTACGTGCAGAGGTCATCCCTGTGCAGGGCACACACAGTTGGAGTGTAGTCGGTCATGCCACGCCCCTGACTGAGGGCACATCCTTTCTGAGCTGCCTCGCCAGCAGCCGTCAGGACTGCTGTGCCCACCCTGGTTTGGTACTTCGTGAATGTGGCCACCCTTAGGAAGTCAGTGGCCCCTCTGTGGTTTGGGGGCTCAGGCATCAGCTCCAGGGGCCTAGCTTTCCTGCACCAGGATCATCTGAAGCTGCCAAGGCTTCAATCTCAACCCCAGCCCGGGCAAGCTGCCTGCCCGTCTCTACCTCAGTCTCCCTCTCTGTAAAATAGGGTTGTAGTAGTAGCTGGCTGGCTGTGAACATGTAGTGGAGGCAGCCTAGTGGGTAGGGGTGGTTTATTCTGGGTGGAGTCAGCACTCACTGTGTGTCAGCAGTGAACAAAAGCAGAGTCCCTGTCTTCGGGAGCTGACATGTCAGTCCAGGAGACAGACAGTGACCTAGTAAGTAAGCCAAAAGCAAAATGTATGGTGTGGTGTGTTAGGCATAGATAAGCACCCTGAGGGGAAGGAGGAGGAGGGAAGGGGTTAGAGAGAGTGCAGGGTGAGCTCAGGGCAGGCAGCCCTGGCTGGAATGGTCCCCTCTGCACAAAAACCTGGAAGAAGCAAGGAGGGATCCACGCTGACACTAGCAGTTTGTGCAAAGGCCCTGGGGCAGGATTCTGCTTGGGCTATTCAGGGAGTGGCAGGGAGGCTGGCGAGTGAACAGGGGGCAGGTGGTGGCAGATGAGTTAGCCCAAGTGAAGCCACCAGCACGGGAGGCATCCCCATGTTGGTGGCCGTGGAGTCCTGCTCAGGGCATCTCAGGGCCTTGCTTAAACAGTCCAGGGTGACCCCTCCCCTTCTGACCTCAGGAAAAAGAGAAGAAATACATGCTGCCTCTGGACAACCTCAAAATCCGCGACGTGGGGAAGGGTTTCATGTCCATAAAGCACATCTTTGCCATCTTCAACACAGAGCAGAGGTGAGCGCCCCCGGGGCCCCCAGGAGGCTCGCGGTGAAGACTGAGGGCCTCCTGCAGCAGGTCAGCGATGTCCATGGAGCCCTTGCTGTATACAGTTCTGCCCTGAGACCTCAGGCCTCAGGAGCCAGGCGGAAGGCTGGAAAATGCCCTGGGTGCGCCCGTGTGTGTTCCGGGGAGACCTCCGGGCGGAGCTCTGAGGAAGGAGGCGGGAGCCGTAGGGGTTCCAGTGGGGAAGGGGCAGGACCTGGTTCAGGCCCTCATGGGCGCCGCCTGGTGGCTGGGGGAGGGGGGGCACACGGCGAAAGCAGGAGCGGAAACCCTGGCCCAGGGTGCAGCACAGGTCCAGTTAGGAGCTTGTGGGGCTGGACCCAGCCTGGGCCGAGGACACAGAGAAGGAAGCAGTGGATTCTGGTAGAGCCCAACGGCTGACCAAACTCCTAGAGGGTCTGGGAGTGAGAGGCGTCGCTCGCTGCTCTGAGCTGCGGGGACCGAGCTACCATCTGCTGAGATGGGGACGGCAGAGGCACGCTAGGCCCAGGGACAGTCGGGCCATGCTGAGGGACAGAGGCCTGTGAGACACCATGTGGGGCATCGGGGAGCCAGCTGGGTAGGCACAGAGTGTGTGTTCAGGAATGAGCCTCAGGCAGGGATGTAGCCTCGGAAGTCGTCCCTGCCTGGTGGTGTTTGTAGTCCTGAGATGGGGTGAGGTCCCTGGGGGAGTGTAGTCACCCAACAGACGGGCCCAGGATACTCGGGAAATCCATCCCAAGGGATGTTGGGGGGTGACTAGCAAAAACAAAGGCACTTTTCTCAACTCAGGAAGAGACCCAGTTGGTAGGTCTGAGAATAGGAGGAAGGGCTGAGTGTGGACCCAGGAGGGCCCCTACCCAGACACACGCCCTCATCCAGGGAAGAGGGGCCGCCTATCAGGGCCTAGCTGCCAGCCAGGGCCTACTGGTTCTTCATGAACGGCAGGCCCCCTGCTGGCCACAGGACCCCCTTCGCCACTGCCCATCTACACCCGCCAGCTCCAGCCCAGCCTCCCGTTCGGCGTGAGCGCCTACGCGTGTAAGCCTAGTCAGTCAGACAGCCCCGGAGCCCCTGCTGTAGCTCACTGCCCCCGCCAGGCTCCTGGGCAGGGTCAGGCGCGTGTCACTCCCTTCCTCCCTCCCTTCCACCACAGGAACGTCTACAAGGACCTGCGGCAGATCGAGCTGGCCTGTGACTCCCAGGAGGATGTGGATAGCTGGAAGGCTTCGTTCCTCCGGGCCGGCGTCTACCCTGAAAAGGACCAGGTGAGGAGGCACTCCGCCTGGCCGGCTCACGGCGGGCTGCGCGGGCCCGCCTCCACCCTGTGCTTGTCCGAACTCTGAGGGCACGAAGCTCACACCCTCCTGAGCAGAGGAGAAGGGGAGAGGGTTTTGTCATCGGGGCCCAGAAGGTTCTCCAAGTGAGGACAAGGGCAGGGACACAAACGGCCTGGGACTCCATCTGCTTTGTTCTCTCTCTTCTCCCATCCTTGAGGCTGAGTGAACATGGCTCTCTCGGCCCCCAAATTAACGTGTTGTTTCAGTGCCAGGTGGGAAGTCCTAGCCCGTCTTGGGCCGGGGTCTCTGCCGGTCCAGGCAGCTCAGGCAGAGGGCAGGCAGGGCTATAGCGCTCTTGGCAGCTGTTGGGTCAGCCCTGGAAGGTCGGCTCTAGGTGGGACGAGGCAAGCGAGTCCCAGAGAAGGGGGCCCCCCATGTTCACCCCGCCTTCCCCCCTTGCAGGCAGAGAACGAGGAGGGAGTCCAGGAGAACACCTTCTCCATGGACCCGCAGCTGGAACGGCAGGTGGAGACCATTCGCAACCTGGTGGACTCATATGTGGACATCATCAACAAGTCCATCCGTGACCTCATGCCAAAGACCATCATGCACCTCATGATCCACAACGTGAGTGTCCGGCCCTCCAGGGCCCGCCGGCCACAGGAGGGGGCCCAAGGCAGCCACAGCCCGACTTGGTCTGAACACAATTCATGTGAATTAAAAATTAGAGTGAGTCACCACCTTTTAAACCTCAGAATCAGGATTCTCCAACTGGAAGGTACTGGCCACAAGGGGCTCCTCACACTTCCCTTTAATCAGGTATTTGGAGCTCACTCCATGTGTGTACACTCTCTCTGCATTTTTTCAGGCTAATAGACCTAGGAGAGCAACTGCTATCATCTGCATTTCATAGGCAGGAAAAGAGAGGCCCCGCAGGTCAAGAAACCTGCCCTGAGTCACTCAGAAGAGGGGGAGGTGGCATTCCAGCCCAGGCTGAGTTTTTCCCAAACTGTGGCCTGAAGGCCTGTGGCCCAGCCCGCCTGCACTGAAGGGTGATGTCTACCCACTCCCAGGGCTCGCCAGCCTCTCAACTTTAGGCTTCTCTTTGGTGAAATGCTTCTGAAATGTATTTCTTCACACTCTAGGCTGCTGGATGGGTTCAGGGGGTTTGCATCTCAGG